ATGCTCCCTATAACTGGTCCCAATTAACATTCTGGCTGTCACATTTTGAAACCAATGGTTTCTAAACACTTCCAAAGGTAGCCCCACGTAGCATGCATTTTCAATGGTAATGTAAATCCCATTCAACACATTGCAAATCCCTACTTCTTGGTTTGTTCTTTGACTGACCAGGAGCACCTTGGCCTTGAGTTTCAGTTTGGGTGCATCTTGACAGAGTAAATACTGCGGTGCTATCCAGAGTGGGCTACTCCAGATCAGCATTGCAGGAGGCTACTTTTTCCACCCCAAGCCAGCTTGGGAGCTGCATGAATGCCACATTCTGTTCCCTTGAACCAGTTTGGTGGATGCATGGTAGCTGCATGGGCAAACTGTTTTCTCGCTGCTTGCCTATCACTGTTAACTTGGTCCCTTCTATCTTACTTTAGCAGTCCTTACTGGATACAAAAAATGGTGATGGATACTACTTGGTGCCTGGAGTGATGATCTCCAGCACACTGAGGCAACTTGGGAGGAGGGAGAGGAGCACTCCCAACAGTATCTCTTTCGGTGTATAAGGGAAAATGCATAATGTTGTTGAGAAATAGGGAACTATGTGGAAAATAAAACTAATAGTAGTATGATCAGCCCATTTGATTTTTTTTTTCTTGAATGAGACTCGCATCAGTTTAGACTAAGATCTACTCATGTGCCCACCTGGTTCTCCAAATTAGCCCAGGGTCAAGGTTTTGTCCATCCATCAAAAACCATAACTGTTTCCAGAATTAGGTAAGAGGCTTGAAACCTCAGGATTCTGGGAAGCTGCTTTATCCCCTCAAATATCCATCTAAGGACCTTATCACATTAAGCCACTCATCTGCCGTGAATCGTGGTGAATCCAGTGGGGCCCGCTGGCGGGAGTGAGGAATCTGTCGCCCCATGCCCCTCTTTGCCCACCTTCCCCCATTTTGCCACCACTGCCGCCTATGGCAGTTTCACCCCTCTTCAGGTTCGGAGCCCTGCTGGAAATAGATCAATGTTGTGTAGTGGGAGCTGGTGGGCTCCATGCCTGAAGAGGAGTGAAATCTGCATAGGACAGGCTATTTGATGAGGTGGTAACATTCTTGTTATCTACAGGCTAAGATAATTATCATGTGGCCAGAATGACTGCATGGAGTGCCGTTACCTTCCTGCCGGAGCAGTACCTATTGATCTACTGACATTTGCATGTTTTCAAACGGCCTGACAGCGGGAGCTCACGCCACTCCCTGGATTTGAACCTGTGACCTTTTGGACAAGTTCAGCAGCTCAGCGATTTAACCCACTGTGCCACTGGGGGCTCCAGGAGCCCATATCATTCAGTAAACATATTTCTTAATAGAACTGACATGACCTTAATTAATTTGCTTCAGAATTATCCTTTTCCAATGTGTGGAACTGCTTTGGAAGAACAAGGTTTTATTCGTTCTTGGTCCTCCTAGAATATATCCAGAATAACTAATTCCTCAATTTATTGTTTGATCTTTGTGAAAGAGAATTCATCTCAAGGAAGACATCTCTGGTCATTTGTCTTTTTTTGCCCATTTCAGAACAACACATTCTAGGTATGCTATTTGTTGGGGAATCTTAGCTGTTAGGCTCAAAATAACCCTCAGTTGCGGTGATTCCACCATAAATATAGAAGAGTACCAGAAGTAAACTTCATAACCAGCAGAAACTTAGTCTTCTGGGATAGTCTTCTATATCTTAGGATGGATTGCAGAGTCAGAACTTCAAAAATATTTATGGAAGTACAAGAAATACATTGATAGAAAAGGTCTTGGAGCCAACTAGCTTACTAAATTTCATCTTGTAAAGGAGGTAAAAGATAAAAGATCAATGCAGCTACATTTAGCCTAGAGAGAGGCAAAATGTGTCCTTCCTGAAGGAAGAAAAGGCAGAAGAGACTGAAAAATGGAGGAGAGACTGCATGGTCAATCCAGGGCAAAAAAACTCAGTTTCTTCACAGAATTCCATTACTACATCATCAAAGGTGGAGAAGCATAACTGGCAGGGAGAGTAAAGACAAAGCACTTTTGGGAAACATGCATAGGAATGTGGGGGAAGAAATCCCTTAGTTTATCCCTGTCTCTAGCCTAGCTTCTCATTGAGGTCTGGAAACTTGATGACACAAGAGACTTGTGCAGTCCAGGGATGAAACCCAACACTATTGTATAATTTGCAAAAAAACAAAAAAAAAAACAAACAAAAAAAACAACAACAAAACCCTTACATAGTCTACTGTATTTGAATCATTTTACACTTTTTCATGATATGAAATAGGCCAGATGAATATAATGTGTATAGCAGGCTCTTGAGATTAACCAGAAACTTTTGTTTTGAAGTTTCACTGAACAGGTCTGTACTGCAGTTGTCTACCCAAACACTGACCCACTATTAATACTGAATCATCAGTGACTATGTTCATCGCTTACCACAGCTTCACCAAGGAGTATAAACACATGGCCATTCACAATACATGATGTTTATGCCTCAACAAATTACTTTGTTTAACCAATTCACATACCTCTTTCTAAGCCACACACTGTGATTGAGAGTGTATATGAAGAGAAGGCATTTAGGGCAAAAGCATGTCTCCTGAGACCTACAACAGGGAACTGCCAACATTTATGGGCTAAAGAAAGAATACTATGAAGTGGCTTGGCTAGAGAGAAGGAGAAAATATAGTGGCTTATGGGGGCTGTTGGAGGATGGTGTTAGAACAGGCTAGGAATGCATATCTTGAGGTTTCTGATCATATGCAAATTTCATCTTAAGAGGAAGGCATTTGGCAGCCATTTGTCCTTCTTGCTCTGCATACATTTCTGAGAAGCTCAAAATAGTCCCAGAGTTTAAACTTCTATTGCTCATCATTTATTTTCTTGCAATACAATACTGCCTTGAAATTCACGTTATACATACATACACACACACACACATATCTCACATCCTTCAGGAGTTTCAATCCCTGTATTCCCATGTATCTAATAGTTCTCATGATCTCATATTAAAAGTGTACTCTCTTCTCCCTTAATTAAAAAAGTAAGTCACAGCACCAGATGTCATTTTGACATTGCTGTTGACTTCATTAGACACATTCTCTCTAGGTGGTAGTTGATAAATCTGTATACAGCAGATGTAATTAAACTGAAAGTTACACAGCTGTCAGGACAAGGCACAAAGACAAACATGAAGAATGACTGTCACCATGGGTCAGGCTAACACTTTTAAGTCAAACAAATTGACTCCCCCTTGTCTCTGCATGCTTTGACCTACGCAGAGAGACAGTTTGGGACATCATCAGTCTTAGGAAAATAAAAGCTTGTAATAACAATTGCCAAACTTCGAAATCTTTTGATAAGTGGCAAGTTCAAAGAGTGGGAAACGAGCACAAAAGCTGCTGCCCAAGAGTCATTACTCACCCACAACTCCTATTGATTTCAAAGAGCTCTACTTGAATAGTGGCTGGAGGAGTGAAGCCTAAAATGAGATACCGCCATGCGGTTACAAAGACAATAACTCTCTTTCAAGATTGAACACTAATACAAACCACCCATGGGAAGTTAAAAGACTCTTAGGGATTTCATATGATTTGTTAACTAGTATGAACATAACACATTGTTATTTAATGAAGTCCTGGTAAATAACCACAGGCAATAGTTGAAAGTGCTCCAACAGATTATAATGAGCCCACAGTCCTTTGAGAGTAACTGTAGTAGGTGATCTTTGCTGCTTTGTAAGTCCATTCATGTTGTAATGGATACTCACACTGCCAGTAGGTCTGCTACAGAACACACAAGAACAATGTAAATTTTAAAAAACATTTCTGTATTCATCAATACAGTTGTTATAAGGCCATATACATTGCCAACTCCGTATGTTTACATTTTCTCAGAAGGTTGTAGATGTAATAGCTTATCAACTTTTAAAAAAACATTTTCCCCTCCCTTTTAATACAAGCTTCATCTAAAAACCAGTGTTTTTAGGGACTGACTTATAACGTGATCCTACCATTTGGTTATGCTTACTGGGTACTATAGGAATGTTACTAAATTCTTTTGCACTGCCAAAATACATCAGACTACTAGGAAAAAACTTGCCAACACAGCAATACAGTTTAGCTGGCAGGACCCTTGCTAATTCAAGGGAGAAAACTGGGTGGAACTGGGGGCCTGGTGGTAGTATAGTAAAAGTTAGGTGGAATTCCATTAGTCTGTGATTTCTTGTGAATTACTCTCAATCCTTATAAAAACATCCAAGCATCCCCTAGGCAACGTCCTTGCAGATGGCCAATTCTCTCACACCAGAAGCGACTCCTTACATACACACACACAAAAAATTAAAGCAGTGGTTCCCAACCTTTGGTCCTTCAGGTGTTTTGGACTTCAGTTCCCATCTTACCAGCTGTTAGGAATCATGGGAGCTGAAGTCCAAAACACCTGGAGGACCACAGATTGGGAACCACTTACTTAAAGCAAGCAAGTAGGGGCTGAAGTTCCCAGCAACACACAACAGCTGAATAAAATTTTAAAAGGCATTCTCAAAACCTTTACACATAACCTATTACATGATTCTTGATGGAGGCACTCACCAAATAATCCCATCTTTTTCTGCACTCAAGCATTTAGAGAAGGATAGGGGGCAGAGTGCTGGGGAAATGTGGGTAGGATTCAGGGGAGAGGACTGTGAGTTTTAAAGGCTATTTTAAGCGTATTTCTTATACCTGTTTTTACCTTAATCCACACTGTACTATTTCACTTTTTAAAAGTTTTGTATTGCACTTTTAAACTATGAGCAAAGTGTGGGACTGTTAGCCACCTGGTGTTCCCATGGGGAGAAAGGTGGGGTATAAATAAAGTTAATAATAGCAAAAGGGGCAGAAAGCAACAGTACTATATTTCCTTTACTATGACTACATCTCCTGAAAAGATATCCAATTTGGGACAACAAAATTTTAGATGAAAGAAAGGAGGAGATGCCAGGTATGCATTGCTAGAGAATGTTTTTATTCAGTGCTTTTAAGTAATTCAACTTTTACTTTACTGGCAACAAAATAAATACAAATAATCCCCCCTTTTACAGAATAATTATTGAAATCTATTTAACAATATGACATAAATACTATTACCTATGAAATGCCATTTAGAAATAATAATTCAGTCCACAGATAACATTTCAGTTAGGAATGTACTGCTTCACTTCATTCATTTATTTGTCCTTTTAGAAAATAAGGCCTGAAACAAATTTATGTCTCCCTTTCTTCTTTACTGGAAGAAAAAGATGCATAGCCCATTTTTCTTTTTTCATTTTCTAAAACGTTTAAAAAGTGGATGAACATGTTTGCTTGATGATGCCTTGCTCCGTGAGGCTTGATATTCCATGTAAACTGTATCATCAGCTCCAGACATGGAGCTCATTGTGCCATAATGTCGGGAAACCTAGAAAAACAAAATACATAATCTCAGCAATATTCTGCATCATTTGAACTAAAAAAATCTCCAGACTGCAGCACACGGAGCACTTGTATTTATCCAGCTGCTCACATATAAGTGCTCTTGTACAGATGTCAATTTAGCCAGGCCAGAAGGATGTATGATTCCCCCCACCCCTCTCAACAAGGTATGTGTCTTCTGACATCTAATTACACCTCTTTCTTTCCAATAGGGGAAATACTGGAAGTCACAAGCTACTAATCTCTAGGATTTGAACACATTCCTAAACAAGTGGAATTTCTTTAGACTACTGACATTTCATAGTGCGACTTATAAGCTTAGATTCAAAGTTGTCTTTCTGAAAATAAAGAGATTCCTCCTGCTCACAGAAGGGATTTTGATCCAGAAGGCTGAAGAAAGGGCTCTTTTTACCTTCCAAACTGCCCTTCCACCTGGAAACCCTATGCCATCCTCCATGCTGTTCTGGAGGGTTCCCCATTTTTCAGAAATTTAAGGAAAGGCTAGAATCAGAACCAAGTTTTCAAAGCTCTGAGAAACTTTCTGCCATTTTCTCATAGAAACTGGGAAAATGTCTATGCTATCTGAACAACCTGATAGATTTAGGAAAGTAAATAAACATAAACTTGGAAAATGAAAGAAAATATTTTCTTGAAAAATTAATAATGTCTGGGAACTCTCTGCAAATGCTAATCTGTCAAAACCTGCTTTTTAAAATGTGGAAGCAAATTAGGAATTTAATGTGTTTAGCATTGCTTTTCTTAACTGATTTAATTCATTTGTGATTATCATCACATTTACAAAGATGTTCTGTTATATCCTTCCTAAAAGCCATAAGAATGAGACTTCTCCCAAATCAAGAAAGATGAATTCCAGAATCTGCACACAATAGGGGAGAATGCCCTTCCTTGGATACCTGACAGGATTTTCAAGAGGGCTTCATTCAAAGATCTAACATCCAAACCCCATTTAGACTTAAAATCAGCATCTTAAATTGGACCTAGAAAGCAACTGGCAATTAGTACAGGCATTTCAATACTGACATATGCTTTTGATACTACGTGTCACCTGAGCAGTTACATTCTGCCCTGACGGAAACTTCTGGTGTGCTCTTCAGCAGTGGTTTAGTTGTAGCTTGACTCAAACAAGGACACTGGTGTCAAGTGGTGTTAACTTATGAAAAGTATGTGGGAGGTCTTTCAGTGTTTTGGAGAGAAATGTCATCAATGTGCCAATGATATTCTGAATTGACAATTGCCTCTTCTCCCCAAGGAAGAAACAACTTAACTTTGTGCAGGATGAAAAATGGTCTGGATAGGAATGATTAAAATGAATGGCAAGATGGGAGTTATGCAGGTCAATGGGAAGACTAGCTTGAGAACTGGATTTCAACCTGTTTGGGGAGAAAATGCACTCTTCTTAAAATAGCACATTTGTAGTCCTTGACCCTGCACTGTCTCCCGACCTTCATTTAATAGGTCATTCCCTGGACACAGGGGAGAAAACCAATCTCAATCTTTATTCTGAGACCTACAAGTTTGGCCAGGAGCAATAGGGGCAGCAACAGTTTTGAAAAAGCAGTCTGAGCTTCTCTTTTTCATGTGGTAAAATCCCCAAACTGCAATGGTAGGAGGGGGTGGAAGAATATCCTTTCTCATTCTACATCATTGCAGCAAAAAAAGGGGGACCAGAGCTGTAGGTCACGATCTTCTCTAGGGCCAAAAGTGAATGCCTAGATGAAGAAAAAGTTTATACAACCCTTGAGTCAACTGCTCCCCATACCAAAGACCTGATGCATCCTTAGTCATCATAATTTCCACTTGCCTGAGATGACTTTGAACCATACTCTCCTGCAACCACCTCTTCCTCAGCATCCATATCAGAGGCTTGCAAAACCTTTTGAAGTAGCTGCTGCTGTTCTTCTTTGGATGAAAACATAAGGTCTTCATCTTCCATACCTGCAAGTTTAGTGATTACCTTGAAAAGAGCAAGAAAGAGATTTTTTTTTTTAAAAAAAGCATTAACCAGTATTCACCTACAGTAAATTACCGCATTCCTTTTAGCAAACCCTAATGGCTGTCATAGAATCATAGAATTGGAAGAGACTTCATGAGCCATCTAGTCCAACCCATGTAATAGTACAATCACGGCACCCCAGACAGATGGCCATCCAGCCTCTGTTTAAAAGTTTCCAAGGAAGGAGCTTCCACCACACTCCAAGGTAGAGAGTTCCACAGCAGAACAGCTCTTACAGCCAGGAAGTTCTTCCTAATGTTCACGTGGATTCTCCTGTGTCCTAATTTCCAGGGCAGTAGAAAACAAGCCTGCTCTCTCTTCCTTATGACATTATTTCACATATTTATACATGGCTATCATGTCTCCTCTCAACCTTCTAAACAGACCCAGTTCTTTAAGATGCTCCTCATAGGGCATGGTCTTTGAACCTTTGATCATTTTAGTTGCCCTCATCTGGACACCTTCCACCATGTCAGTATCTCTTCTGAACTGTGGTGGCCAGAATTGGACACAGTATGTTAGATGATGTCTATCCAAGGCAGAATAAAGAGGCACCATGACTTCTGTATGTTAGCATTTCATTTTTTTTCTGCCTAATGTAGTATTTGTCCTTGTTGAAATTTGTTTTGTTACTTTTGGCCCATCTCTCTAATTTGTTAAGGTCATTTTGAATTCTGATCCTGTCCTCAGGAGTATTAGCTATCCCTCCTAATTTGGTGTCACCTGCAAACTTGATAAGCATGCCCTCTAAACCTTCATCCAAGTCATTAATAAAGATGTTGAACAGTACTGGGCCCAGGACTGAAACCTGCAGCACTCCACAAGTCACTTCATTCCACTAGTCACTTCTTTCCAGGATGAAGAAGATCCACTGATGAGCACTCTTTGAACTCGGTTGCTTAACCAATTCCAGATCCTCCTGATAGTAGCATTGACTAACCCACATTTGACCAGTTTCTTTGCAAGAAAGTAATAGGGGACCCTTTTGAAGGCCAGTAGGAAAAGAGGAAGAACATAGTACAGATGGGTTGGATTCAATTAAGGAGGCCATGGCTGCCCTGTGTCTGCAAGGTCTGAGCAAGGCTTTTGATGATAAGGTGACTTGGAGGTCTGTCATTCATGGGGCCATCATAAGTTGAAGTCCAATTGACAACAGTTAACAACAATAGCTGCGAAACCTCAAATGTACACTGTGTTATATCACTGACTTCAGTGCTTTGTGTGTAACCATGTTGTTTTACTGCATCCAAACAGTATCTCACACCAGATGCAATGGTTAGAGTAAGGATGGGCAGATTTATTCTCACAATAGTATGTTGGCATAATGACTGGAACAGTGGGTACTTTCTGGGTCACAATGCAAACAGGTGCAGGAACATGTGTACATGGTTATGTACAAAACTGGATCCTAAAGTTACTAGAACTAAACCATAAAATGCAAAGACAGCATCCTTTCCCCTTTTTCAGACATGGGCATATCAACTTTAATTACATGTTAAAGTACATTAACACTGCCATGGGTTTAAACTGAACTCTCAGTAAAGCTGATGTATTTTCACTTCTGCCTCCTTTAAAACAACTTATATTAATACAAGACAACACAAAACAAGTAATACTTTTAGTATAATTTTCTTTCTGAGTCACTAGTTGAGTCACATATACTTATTGTTAACCAATATGACTTGCTCTACAATCCCACAGACATCATGGACAGAATTACCTTGAAGCTGTAGCCTTGATCTACTAAAAATCTCTGCCGCTTGGTTGAGTATGCCATTTCTTGAGTGTCTTGGGAAACCAGAGAATAAAAGAAGGCATTGTATTCCTCTGCAACCATTCCTGGAGGAAAGGTTTATTGAGACGTTAAGCCACACAAGTTGATTTTTTAAAATAAATTAAACATTTCCTGACATATTAGTCCCACGTGGCTTACTTAGTATTACAGAAATTAAGTAAATCACAAGCTGTAGCACCTTCAAAATGTACAGGTTGACAAATACAGAGACCTTCTCTTGAAATAGGCAAGTTCTAAGTTATTATCCTATCTGTAAGTACTAAGAATTTTCCTCAAGAGTCAGGTTTTTTATCATACACCATTCAACATCTTTAGCATCTCAGAATCCAGATTGTACAAGCCACATACTAAAATATATTACAGCAATGCAACCCAGTTCAGGGTCTCAAGCAAAACAGCAAGCAGGTGTCTCTGCCCTTAAAGTCAAGATAAGGATTATCCAATTCAAAGCAAAAAACCTCACAGGTATGTCTTTTATTTCCTGACACCGAGGCAATAACAAGAGAAAAACAAGTACTGTAACTAACATTTTGCTTCCATTTATGGGACCCATTGAAAGGGCTGACCCTGATCACAATGAACACACGCATACACAAGCAACCGGTTTGTTTTTCACACATCTAAGATACCATTTAACCAGCTAGATTTACTGTTGAATATGAGAAACACTTAAAATTTAAAGCAACATACAGCTGGATAGCGTTCAGTAAGAGATCATGCAGGTCAAATCACAGGTAGCAAAATCTACAGGTATCAAAATCCAGTTATTTGTTGTGACCATTCCAATGTCTCAGGTTTCACAAGCAATACTATTCATTTGCATGCAAAACAGAAACTGTCTTTAGACTCTGAAAGAAAGACCACCCTTTCCCAGCTGATATAACTATGAAGACATTTTGAAGCCAAAGGCAATTTCCACTGCCGACCTTGGCACTGTTTTCCAAACAGTTCCTCCCTATTACAGCTTTGTTTAAACAATGAATAAATCCAGGTTCTCCCAGAAAAGCATTTCACATATTCCATGCCTTTCTTCCCACAATAACATTTGAAACACACAACTACTTTGCATTTCCTTGCTGTCTTTCTGCTAGTAGGTGATAATCTTTTTATTTAAGGATGCTGTTCATTTGGTTGTGTTTTATTATGTTTTCAATGAAGGTTTTAACAATTTTTAACTTTGTTTTGAAATATAAATTAGTTTAATTACGTTTTATTTTTGTATTAATCCTTTTTAATTGTATTGAGCTTTTAATATGTTGCACACTACCTTGGATCCTATGTCGGGAGAAAAATGGTATATAAATGAATTGAAAATATATAAATAAACCTGTATTCAAATTGATTAAATATGCCCCCCCCACATCTATCGCATTTCTCTTATTTCTTGATTTCACACATCTAAAACTACTTATTAAAATTTCCCCATATACTCTCTTCCAGACAATAAATCGTGCTTTTCAGCCTATTCATATATCGGGAGAGAATACTGCAGAAACCAAGTATTTAGAAGTTTAGGGAAATATCTTCTGCAAGTAAATGGCGAAGACATGCTATGGCTGCTTGTTGACTAGCTTAAAAGCACACCAAAATGATCACACCAAAACCCATGGCTGCATTTTCTAGGCAAAGCGTCAAATTAAAATTTTCCTCACTGTGAGTCATTTGTAGTAGAAGAAAAAGAAAGTATTTTTCTCTAAGCCATGAATCTTATTTAAAAATCATTGAACTAAGTAAGAGAAATCTCAAAATGGCAACACTTTCAATCCTGCCTTGAAAGTTCAATAAGAACACAGCCTAAGGTCTGCTAAGTGTGACTTTTAAAGACATACAAAATACTAATACTAACTGTCATGTGAGGACTGATTAGGCAGGAAAGGGAAAGAAAAAGATGGCCCCCTACTGCAGCACTTTTTATAACTAACCTTGAATTTTGTTTTAACCTGTGACCTTGAGCTGGCAGTGACAAACTGGGACAATGGCAAATTGTACGTGCTTAGTCAGCTACATGAGTTGACTTATGTTACTTTCATGCTTGAGTGTTCCATTAAATTTACAGATTCCCAGGCCTTGGTTTACCTTTCTTGGCTCTCAGCACTCGGCCCAGTCTTTGGGCCTCCTGTCTCCGAGACCCACCATGGGATGAGATCTGGATCAGAACATTGGCTTCTGGGAGATCAAAGGATGTGTCACCTACCTACAACACAGAAACAGCAAGACATACAGGACTCACATAATTTTGTGGGCTACAATAAAAATGTGCCAATATTAAAACAAATCAACAATCTTAAGAGACCACTGTTGAGATATTCCAAACTAACATTTTCTCTCTTACCTTGGAGATGAAAATTGTGTTGATTTTGGGGTTGTGTTTGAAATTCTGCAAGATCTGCATCCTCTCTCCCTGTGCTGTAGGCCCATATATATATGGTCTTTAAAAAGAGATACAAAAAGATCATGATTCTTTGTCCCATGGGTTCAGATATGCATGTAAGCATGTTACAAAAAACAAAACAAAAAACAAAACAGACTGAGTATCCCTTATTCTGGATTCCAAAATCTGAAATACTCCAAAATTGTCCACATAGGTGGCTGAGACAATGACACCTTTGTTTTTCTGGTGGTGCAATGTACAATTTTGCCTCATGCCCAACATTATTAAAAAATATTGTGTATAAAATTACCATTAGGTTACGTAGATAAGGAATGCATGAAACATAAATGAATTTCATGGTTAGACTTAGGTTCCATTAATGTTTCACAATGTAGATGCAAATATTCCAAGACAAAAAAATCCTCAATCCCAAAGCCTTCTGGTCCCAAGCATTTCTGATAACGGATACTCAACCTGTAGCATATTTTAACGTAATCCATGATGCACACTTATGCTTTACTTCCCAGAAATACTTCCTTTCTTTGTTATCTTTGTAGCGGCCTTTGTTGCCTGTATGGCAGACCCACCCATCTGGAGACAAACCCATTTTGTCAGACACCCCCTTCCACAGAAATAAATCCTGACAGTTGTAAATGTTATCCGCTTGATGTGTGCCTCCTGACTCAACAGATCAGTGGGCTGGATATATCTACTAATCCTAGATGAAAGGATAGAAGCAGCTGTTAAAATAAAAAAGGTGTTTTCTTTGGTTCAGTCCACTGAGCTAGCACATTAACAGCTGTGTTCCCATTCTTCCTCCCCACTCGTGTCCTTGCAGTTTCTCAGATGAAATTCCTCTGGTTTCAGAATGTGAGATATATGTTCAAGATTGTGACCACTATTGAAGTCAACATATGAGTAGTATCTGTGTTTCTTGTGATGGAGTACTAAGACTGTTGATCTGTATAGAACTTGGTGGGGAACTGCACTGGTGGCATAATTGAAAATGGCTTGTTTTCAATCAATTTAATGGGACTTGTAGTGAAAAAAAGTGGCTGAAAATTTATTTTCTAATGGATTTCAAAGTGGCACTTTGGTGTCCTGGCTGTTGCATACAGGTCTGTGGATTACACTTCACTCACCCTTAAACTAAGGGCTCAATCCAACATCATGCTGTCAGAAAAAATGGATTTCCACTCTTTACTTTCTCCTCTGCCTTTGTTGTTTTGCTGTTTATTTGTTCAGTCTCTTCTGACTCTTTGTGACCTCATGGACCAGCCCACGCCAGAGCTTGTTGTTGGCTGTGGCCACTGTCAGCTCCTTCACAGTCAAGTCAGTCACTTCAAGGATACCATCCATCCATCTTGCCCTTGGTCGGTCCCTCTTCCTTTTTCCTTCCATTTTCCCCAGCAGCATTGTCTTCTCCAAGCTTTCCCACCTTCTCATTATATGGCCAAAGTACTTTATCTTTACCTCTAATATCCTTCCCGCTAGTCATCAGCTGGGTATTATTTCCTAGTGTATGGACTGGTTGGATCTTCTCACAGTCCAAGGCACTCTCAGAATTTTCCTCCAACACCACAGTTCAAAAGCGTCTTATCTTCCTTCGCTCAGCCTTCTTTATGGTCCAGCTCTCGCATCCATAGATTACTACGGGGAATGCCACTGCTTTAACTATGTAGACTTTTGTTGCCAGTGTGATGTCTCTACTCTTAACTATTTTATCGAGATTGATCATTGCTCTCCTCCCAAGAGGTAAACATAGTCTGATTTCCTGGCTGCAGTCTGCGCCTGCAGTAATCTTTGTGCCTAGAAATTTGTTTGTCACTGCCTCCACATTTTCTCCTGTGCCTTGCTTCACCCAATTCCCAAATCTTCTCCAGAAAGCTCCTCAATCCTTTGGACTATTTTTGGAGACCCTCCTATGTGGGGGAGGATGCAGAGCAAATACCAAATCTATTCCACCAGCTGTGTTGTTCTCTATCAGTCTATACAACCTGAAGGTTAGTATTACAATTCCGATCTCCTGCCATTGCACCATTTATGGTAAAAAAAATATTTCCAGATAGGAATAAAAAAAGTTTTAAAAAAACCAAGCCCTCAAATATGTTGAGGCCATTGTCCCAAAGAAACCCAAATACTTCTCCCATCCAATTACAGTTTTAAGCATCTACAGTTTTTAAAAAATGCAACACTAATAATTGCATGTAATAGTACTCTTTCAAGAATTGTGATTAGATACAATCTCTGTCCAAACATGGTTCAATAATTAGAATCAAAACAGATTAACATGTTCAGAATCTTAAATTAAGGAATGGCTTGATGTTTTTCTAAATTGGTATGCTGTATATTTTTAAATAATAGCCTAATTACAAGTTTTGGAAACACAGAAATATTGCAAGTTTTTAATTTGATAAATTGTGTGTTTCTTTTTTTTTTCTGGACAAGAGCTTCAATTTCAAACAGCCACAAGCATTTACAAATGAGAAGTGTGCAAGGAAAGGGGAGAAAACAGGACAAAAACTGCCGCTCTGTATGTTTTGAGGTCACAAAAAACTGTTTGTCCCATACATTGCCACTAGAAACTTACTATTATGTAAAAGTATCACATAAGCAGCATTTTTCTTCAGTCACCACATATCTTGAATTTAAATTATCACACTAACCCTTAATTATATCAGTTTACATGGTATACGCTGCATGGAGCTGCCTTTGGAAATTGTTTGGAAACTTCAGAGGGCTGAAAATACAGCAGCCAAATTGTTGACTGGGGCCAGTTATAGGGAACATATAACTTTTCCACACTCGCTTTTAGAATATCCATCAGTTGGAATCTAAAACTGTTCATCCAAGCATAACTCTTCTACAAATGAAAGGGCTCCTTCCATTAAAAGACAAAATTTGAACACTGGAGGAAGATGTATGATTTTCAAGGATATTGGATTCCAACTGATGGATATTCTAGAAGTGGATGGGGAAAAGAGGGGATTAGAAATGGTCAAACCAAATGTCATTTTGGTCCTGGCATATTTAAAAGCAATGGATCTTGGACTCAAATGTGATTTTAATACCCTAATTAGCCACTAATTACACATAATCTTCTTGGCTATATTATTATCGCACCAATCAGAGCACAATTGTAAGGACCACTTCAATGAGTTTTACGTTGGAAAATACAATCTATATCGTATATATACTGTCACATCTTATTACAGAGGCCCAAAGCAGTTGTTAACAGTTTATTGAGACTTCCCTGGGAGTAGCTAAATAGATGCCTGTAACATCTTCACACTCAACAGCATGCATAATTCTTCTGTAATCTGGTGACCCCAAGGCATAACTGGTCTACTATAGCTATTATTTATGATTGTTGCTTCAGAAGTTGCTTATTATAGGTGGCAAGGAGTCCCCGCTCTAAATCTGATATTTAAATTCTGTATTTTGATGTGAGTGAAAGGAAGACAATTTTAAGGATGTAATCACCCAAAGAGCAAAGTCCTGAAAAACAGGTTTATCAATACTGGGACAGAGACACCTTTTATCCATCAATACTTACTTGCCAAGTCGAACCGCATACTCCTTTAAAGCGAACACATTGTCTGCAAAAACGATGATCTTGTCATTCCTTCGCTCATGAAACTTAATCAGGAACTGGCAAGCCCTGAATTTGTTTGGATTCATTGTATAGAGCAATATCCGTTTCTTTGTTTTAATAGCCACATACTCTCTGTAGAATTCAGGAGACATTGGACACCAAACCTAAGATATAGATAGTTAGAGAAAATCAGATTAGATAGTAATAATAAGGTAAAGGTTTCCCCTTGACATTAAGTCTAGTCAAGTCTGACTCTGGGGGGTAGTGCTCATCTCCATTTCTAAGCCGAAGAGCTAGCGTTGTCCATAGACACCTCCAAGGTCATGTAGACAGCATGACTGCATGGAGTACCGTTACCTTCCCACCAAGGTAGTACTTACTGAACTACTCACATTTGCATGTTTTCGAATTGCTAGGTTGGCAGAAGCTGGGACTAACAGCGGGAGCTCACTCCGCTCCCTGGATTCAAACCGCCGACCTATCAGTCAGCAAGTTCAGCAGTTTAACCCACTGTGCCACCAGGGGCTCCTATAGTAATAATAATGCTTCAATGCTTCAATGCAAATAATGCTTCAATGCTTCAATAATGAATCAGTAGGAAAGCATGAGACAGCTAAAGACTTACAAGATTTTGATATACTGTTATGAAGAATGAAACATTTATGTAGTTATGGAGGGTGATGTAGGGAATGATTTTCTAAGTAGGCTTGAAATGACTTTACAATATACTTCCAGAAAGAGGAGGCACCATAGACAAGAAACAAAACAATGGGCTGCATTCCTCATAAGCAATTGCTTATGAGGAATTTGTTTCTTCCTTTCGAAAGCAGCAATTTTCATTCACCTAAAGGTTTTCCGAAGAGTCAGGGGTTTATCAATAAACACTCAGAGAAGGAATAAAGGGGGAAAGGTGAATCAAAGGAAGTTGGGTAGAGACAGAGAGGGAAAACAGAAAGAAGATCTAGTCAGGATTGTACTTTCATCAGAAATGTGAGGCATAGATCCCCTTGTCTAATACTCCTTTGCTGCTTTCTCTTCAAATGTGAAGCAGTCCTCAGCTTGAAGAAGCAAAGCTCTTGAGGAATACGTGACATTCCTCAATACCACTCCCCAAAACACAACCCTGTAGATTTTTCTTAGTCCTTTTGTGAAAGCCTTCTAATTGACTCTCAAAGACTTAACAACTTAAGGGTTTTCCATCTCAGCTTTTCCCAAAACACACAAACAATAAATTTAGTGTTTTATGTATACTTCTAATCCATGCATGACCTCACAAGTTAAATAATTTTGAAACAATTAACCAGATTGTTTGTCCATCACAGACCAATTACAGCAGATTACTGGCAGCTCTCTGTTCTGGGTGTTCCTCAGGTTACAAATCCAAGGAGCAAAACTCTTCGGCAAATTGGTGGTCATTTTTCTGTATGCCTATAAGATAGCTGTAATAGCATGCACTTTTCTGACAATCTATCTTGGTATGCCAGAGATAAAAGTGGAAAAAAAAAGATATATATCTACTTGTATATATAATCATAGAATCACAGAGTTGGAAGAGCCCCTGTGGACCATCCAGTCCAACCCCATGCCAAGAAGCAGGAAAATTGCATTCAAAGCACTCCCAACAGATGGCCATCCAGCCTCTGTTTAAAAGCCTCCAAAGAAGGAACCTTCACCACATATAGTGGAATCTTTATTTTCCCAGATGCCTTTGGTTTGCAACTGTCACCAGCCAACTCAGCAAAGCCAATAGTAGGAAACTGTAGTCACAGTCAAAAATATCTGGAGGGGCAAAGAATGCATTTTGTTGTTGTTGTTGTGTGCCCTCAGGTTAACTCCCGTTTGCAGTGACTCTATCATAGGATCCCCTTGGCAAGATATGTCCAAAGGGAGTTTGCCATTGCTATCCTCTAAAGCTGAGAGAGTATGGCTTTCCCAAGGGTTTCAGTGGGGATTCAAAACCTGGGATCCCAGAACCCTAATCCAACACTCAAACCACTAAAGAATGCTGGTTCCTAGGTTCCCCTAAAGGTAAAAGTAAAGGTTTCCCCTTGACATTAAGTCTAGTCAAGTACAGCTCTGGGAGGTGGTGCTCATCTCAATTTCTAAGCCGAAGAGCCGGCATTGTCGGTAGACACCTTCTAGGTCATATAGCTGGCATGACTGCATGGAGTGTCGTTACCTCCCTGTCAAAGTGGTACCTATTGATTTACTCACATTTGCATGTTTTCAAACTGCTAGGTTGGCAGAAGCTGAGGCTAGCAATGGGAGCTCACCCTGTCCCACAAGTTCGAACCACCAACCTTCCGGTCAGCAAGTTCTGCAGCTTAGCGAATTAACCCACTGCGCCACTATGGCCACACCCCTGCTTTAAACTAACAACTTTTTTTTGTCGTGTCAGGAGCGACTTGAGAAACTGCAAGTCACTTCTGGTGTGAGAGAATTGGCCGTCTGCAAGGACGTTGCCCAGGGGACGCCCGGATGATTTGATGTTTTTATCATCCTTGTGGGAGGCTTCTCTCATGTCCCCGCTTGGGGAGCTGGAGCTGACAGAGGGAGCTCATCCACCTCTCCCCGGATTCGAACCTGGGACCTGTCGGTCTTCAGTCCTGCCGGCACAGGGGTTTAACTCACTGCGCCACCGGGGGCTCCAATGATACATGATAATCAACAATCAAGCTTTTTCCTCTTCCCTTTTTCTGTTTACGCTGAGATTGCCTCTCTACCTGGAGACCTGGAGAAGCACAACAATGTTCTGAGATTTCATTCAGTTCCCAGTGAGCCACCGGGGACTCCACAAACTAACAACTCAAACATCTCTTTTCATTGTGAATTCAAGGATGCTTAGTTTTTAAACCAGCTAATCATAGAATGAATGTTAGGACATAACACTTTGTGGGTCTGAGAAATCTACAAGGTGTTTCCAAAAGATGGAAACCGATTTGAAATTGATTTATCTCTGAAACCACAAACTGTCCACAAATGAAACTCTTCCCACTTGAAACCGTGGGGCATGGAGGTTCAAGTGATTGTTGCTAGATGCTTCTTTTAGCTCACAAACAGCTCCTAGCCTCACTCATTTGTAAGATGGCGACCCTGCAACATAAGGCGCAGTTCAGCAAGACTGAATCCGTAATTGCAGTGCAGTGTGCATTTCAATGCCATTTTGAAACTCTATGCCCCCATCCTTTCAAGTGAAGACTTTCATCCATGGGTGGTTTGGGGTTGCAGCAATACAGTGATTTCAAATTAGGCCAATCTTTCTGAAACACCCTGTAATTAAATGAACTCTGGCTGCTGCCTGTCAACTGGATTCCCTGTTCTGGCATTTACAAACAGCATCCATGGGCCCTTCCGCACAGCCATATAACCCAGACTATCCAGGCAGAAAATCCCACAATATCTGCTTTGAACTGGGTTATCTGAATCCACACTGCCATATATGCCAATTCAAAGCAGAAAATGTGGGATTTTATTGAGCTGTGTGGAAGGGGCCCATGAGTAATTAATCTGAAGTTTTCAGATCTAGGTACTTTATATATAATCACAGATAAATACTGTAAATATGCAGACTCTACCCTGACAGATAAATAAATATGCAGACTCTACCCTGACGGAACAATCCATTCACTGCATTGTTCATAGTAACACATCTTCAGAAGAAGTGACTAGCTACTTTTCTGAATGAGTCACATTTTTGGGCTGACTTCCTTCCAATAGAGAACCATAACTTGGGACCCTCTGACACTACAGAATCACAGCGCTATGATAATATTTCAACTGTCATGACAAAACTCTATGGAAGCCTTTGGTCTGTAATTAGGTTAGTTGCACCACAGGAGCTCCCTGGGTGAGAATTCAAAGTACTGCCCCTTAAACTGTAAATCTCACCATTTCACAGGATGTTGACATGGCAGTTAAAGGGGAATTTTAGTGCTGTAATCGTGTTAACAGCACCCCAGGACACAGTTAGATAATTGTTTTACTTGAGGTATTTGCAACTTCCAGATTCAGCTCTGGTATTTTGGGATCCAATTCCAGACTTCTCAATCAATATGGTCAATACTAAGGGATTCCGGGAGTGTATTCAAATGAAGAGGATCAATTATTCTTCGGCCTGTTTTAGTCTCTCAAACTCTGTTCACTTTTTTCTGTGAAACTAGAAACTGGGTCTCTGAATTAAATTCAAAAACAAGAGTACTTGTGTTATCAGAGACTTAGGGAACTCTGGATTTTGTGATAACGCTGTCTACTGATGAGGCAGTTTCTACAATTCTCTCCTCTCCCTACTCTTTTTGTTTGGCTTATCAAACCACGAAGTCTCTGGGCCTAAAGCTTATCTATTATTCCCATCCATATTTACATACCCATCAATCCCATCTGTGTTTAATGGAGGAGAATTGGTTTCAGGGATTTGCCTGATTACACAACAGGCACTGCCCCCTGCAGACAGACACTCAGAAGGACAGTGTGTTCTGGGGGACAGAGAAATTATTCTCCCACAAGAAATACTGAACCCAAAATGCATGTCGCTCATAACAGGATTTTATGCACTCTGTCTTTAAAAGTATTGTACCTGGAGCAGCTCTGTTTCTGAGCTCAATTGTTTTAGAATTTGCGTTTTTAAATTATTCATGGGAGAAAATGTCACTGCCCATTCAGAATACACCAAAGGACAGGGAGAACTGCAATTTTAAGCAGAAAAAGACATTCTAGAGATAAAGTAATTTTACAGTTGCTCTGGATGTTTATAAAGACATTCTGTAGCCCAGGAAATACAACAGCATTATGAAAGTAGAGATAATGTACCTCAGCACACTGGACTTTAGCGATATAACCATTGTTCTGCAGCTCCATCCAGTTGGCCTCATACAGTTTTGGTCCAATGAGGAAATTCAAGTCTACAATTTTGTCATCTTCCCTGACAAGGGTAGCTGTCAGTCCAAGTTTGCAGTGGGCTTGAACAATGGTGAGCACACGCCTGAACATTTTTGCTGAGAAAATCATGCAATGACATATTACGGTTAAGTGGTTAATCTATTTCAGATTTATGCTGGATTAGAATACTATGATATATTTCGTTATTGGAAGCCTATATAATATTATATGATATTATATTTATATAATATTATATTTGCTCTTTATGTTCTACAAACATAGCTTTACATGTTTTGGTTTTGCCATCACATTATTCCCAAAGTTATGATAGAAGAGAAAAACTAACAGGAATTTAAGACTAAGGGGAGTTGGACAGAGGAACAATTCATATAACAGATGCTCTCTTTTTGAACATTGATAATGCCAATGATTTTTTTCCGTGTCAGGACACTGTCTGTTCTGATAAGGCCAACTGGCTAATCAATAATATTTGTTCATTTGTGTCAGGAGTGACTTGAGAAACTGTAAGTCGCTTCTGGTGTGAGAGAATTGGCCTTCTGCAAAGATGTTGCCCAGGGCATGCCTGGATGTTTTACCATCCTGTGGGAGGCTTCTCTCATGTCCCCCCATGGGAAGCTGGAGCTGACAGATGGGAGCTCATCCTGTTCCCTGGATTTGAAACACCGGCCTTTCAGTAAACAGTCCTGCTGGCACATCGGTTTAACCCATTGCACCACTGGGGACTCCATCCCAATGATCATACTGGTTCACAGATTCTAGGAGTTTTCGTCCCAAAGTGAACTTGTTCAAGTTCTGTTCCATCTGGTAAAGAATACTCAAGTTAATGAAAACCTATGCTATAATTTTTGTTCTTTCGGTTAGTCTCAAAGATGCTGTCACATCCCTTTGAATACTTATTCAAGATCTGTCAGAGATGCCGCTATGCTCTCCTTACCAGGTATAGTGTGTACTTCATCAAGGATCATAAGGCCCCACTCTTGACTCTTCAACCATTCCATGACTTTCTCTGCCTCCCAAGACCGCTTGGTTGTATGTCCCAACATTGAGTAGGTACTAATGGCAATAGAGCAGCCAATTGGTTTATCTTTGGCATCAGAAGTAAATCTGCAGATTTGGCTGTCATCAATGGTGGACCACATTTTGAACTGGGCTTTCCACTGTTCCACAGAGACAGCAGAATTGCCCAGCACCAAGCATCGTTTACGGACTGTGGAAGCAGCTGTTACTCCTACAAGTGACTTGCCAGCACCTGTAATTAATAAAAACAAGAGGTGATTTAAAAAAATCGACATGTAGTGCACAAATATACACAAGATAAAGAGAAAAAATGGATAAAAAGAGCATATAATTATGACTTACATTCTTAACATGAAAAGTGCTATACAGATGGATAAAATATAAAGTGCATAATGACTTCATAAAGTCAAAGCCCAACTTACATGAATTTTAGAAACATTTAATATCAACTTAGCCAACTCACCACAGGGAAGGACAATAACGCCAGACCGAGCACGGCCATTCCCAAACATTTTTCTTAAGCTCTTTTCCTGGTATGGTCGCAGAACAGCTGTGGGTTTCAAATCTATATTAATATCGGGATTCACGGAATCATTTCTGAAGTCGTACTCAGCAAGCAGGGGGTACTCCAGCTGAATGCAACGCTTTTGAAGCTCTTCAATCATTTCCTAAGAAAGACAAATGGGGGGAGGTTCATTTTAAATTTTTACTACTAATTACTCACTTAGAATTTTAGGAAAACACTGAAATCCACCATAAAGCATGGAAGAAGTATATCAGGTTGCAATCAATGAAATAAAGGTACAACAAAACATCCAAAGAACAGTTGCATGAAAATGCTGCACAACTGTGAGTGTCATTAACAACATCTTAAGTTTTTATCATACTTTCAAGAGAATCATAGAGCTGGGAGAGACCTCATGTGCCACCCAGTCCCACCCCCTACCAAGAAGGAAAATCGCATTCAAAGCACCCCTGACAGATGGCCATCTAGCCTCTGTTTAGAAGTCTCCAAAGAAGGAGCCTCCACCACACTCCAGGGCAGAGAGTTCCACTGCTGAACAGCTCACAGGCTACAACAAGAACTGGAATAGTGTAGTGTTTCCCAACCTGGTCCCCTCCCAATGAGTTGAACTACAACAACCACAGCTTCACAGCAAACTTTGTTTTGTATTCTAATGTATCTGAAGGGTCCCAAATTGGGGAAAGCTGTTCTAGGAGCGTGTATGTATATATGTAATTAATTTATTTTTGTTACCTAACTAAACTAGGTTGCAGGAAGCATCCTGTTATTTCAAACTTCTTCACAAGATCTCCATACTGACCACCATCTTAGACTCAGAGCAAATGTCAAGCCCCAAAAACTTCTGAAAGGAAAGGATTATTGGATATCATGAACCCAAATATTAAGTAGATAGGCACGCATATTTTCTGGGCAGAAATCAAATTTTATGAAAACATGGAGGACAGTTCCAGAATTATTATTTATTCTGCTTTTTTATTGATACAGACAACAATATACTTTTTATGGCAGCAACTCAGGAAGGAGAAGTTGCTACTCCTTAGAACATCCTCAAAGGACGTAGATACTTGGATATTACTTTTCTCTTGAGAATAGTTATACGTTCTGTGTTTTCCACCTCTTGAATACTGAACTGATGTTTTAAATACATGGTCCTTACGCTAAAGAAACTGCATACATTCAAAGGTTTCAGTCCACTAAATATACAAGAGTGGGTCAAAAAGTTTTGCCTTCTGTGTCATAAAAATGTTATGAATGAACATATAACAGCAGAAGTTGCTACAGATTATAGCCTGAACTGTCCTCTACACAAACTACCATTCAATATGTACACATCTGTGCCATCATTTAACCCAGGCATCAAAACCATTTTGGAAAAATTCAGGGTTTTGCTTTGTGGCCTATGATTTTAAAGCTATTTTAATGCCATTCAAGTCACTGAATCTTTTACCTGTTTTGACCTCTGAAAGATTACTTCAATGGCGTTAAAACAGCTTTAAAATCATGGGTCACGAAGCAAAACCCTGAATTTTTCCAAAATGGTTTTGATGCCTAGGTTAAACGATGGTACAAATATGGACTATGGTGACTACATTGAATGGTAGTTTTGTGGTGAAATTGACTGCTGCTTCAAAATTTGCTACAACAGAAATCACTTTCCAAAGTATTTCACTCTTTCTGTATTTCACTCTTGATAGGAAACTGTGCTGTGCTTGTACAAAACTCAGCAAACAAGTTTCCATTTCAGACTTTAGTAGCTAAAGCCCAAGGAAGACTGCCAGGTTCCACAATCATAGGAAAAGAAAACTGCTATCTAAATTTCGAGGATTAATAAGCAACAATCAGTAGTCCTCCATCATATTGGTTTTCAGCATGCTTTATTTGGAGGTGTCCCATTGTATTTTCTTAAGAGGATTTAATGTTTAATGTCACCTAGTGGTCTTCCATGTCTGAGCGGGGATTTAAATCCTGGTTTCCCAGAATACAACACACAACACACATCACACCACACCACACTGACTCATTAATTCTCAAAATCGATTGCTGGAAGAGACCATTAGGGCCATCCAATCCAACCTCCTGCCATGCAAGTAACATGGTGATGTTTTACCTGCTTCACTTCAAAAGACACTGTCTGTGTTTCTTCCTCCTCTTCTTCATCCTTGTCCATTTGTTCATAAAATTCAAATAAGTCAGCAGGGACATCCGGCTTATTCGGAACATCGGTCCCTTGTGAAGTGGACGGACCACTGCCACTCTCAGTGGACTTGGAGATCTACAAGATATTCAACAGGGAACAGGAGGATGTGGTCAAAAAGGGGGCAATAAGCTTCACCAACAGCTGAGGGACTATAATAGCTAAAAGCCATATAAAAATAAGTAAATGGAGAAAATTATTTAAACTGGCACCAAAATATAACCATTGGACAAGATAAAAAGAGAGGCCCAACAGTCATCATATATGCAGACAAACAAATATACGTTTATCAGTAAACAGTAAAGAAAGAACAAGCCATTTTACAAGAAATAGTAGTTCATAACCTGAACATACAGCTGATTTGCTGGTGAATGTTTCTGTTATGAGTTCTGTTTCTTCTCCTTCTGCATTTCTCAGTCGACAGTCTCTAATAACGGGATCTTGGAGAAGCTGCTGAATGACCTCTGGGTGGGCACTTTCTACAAAATACCTAGAAAGAAGAAAACAGGGAAAGAAGATACTAGAAAGAAATACAGGTTGAGTATGTATGTGTGTGTGTATATATATCTATAAATGTATGGTCATCCCATGAATTTCATAGGGTTTTCTTAGGCAAACAATACTCAGAGATAGATTTCCTCTTAAATATTATTATTATTATTATTATTATTATTATTATTATTATTATTTCTTACTTGCCTCTCCTTGTGGCTTGAGGTGGGTTACAGAATAATTTCACAGCCCACACAGTCACTGGCATAACTGTCCTTTACAAAACAAGCTAAGGGATCTTGTAGGCTCATATCCTACAGTACTTGGTATTCATTAGTAATCTCCCATCTAAGTACTGTTTACCTTCCAAGAACAGATGCGATTTGATGCCTTTATGTATTTTGTGTCAAAAGCATTGCATAAATAAGTATAAAACTGATAAAATAGAAGGAGGTCAAGCGGCTAAATAATTTTAGATCAAAAGCAGGCAACAGCAACTGTGTTGTCTGCAGCTTTAAACAGTTCTTCCTCTGTGCATGAGGCAGGGCATTGTGGGCAAGTGTATGCAGGTGCTGGGTTGTTTGTTCTGCTCCACAGTAGCACAAGGTGGAGGATTCTTATAGGAAGTGCCATTTTCCCAGGTTGTCTTTTGATCTGCTTCTGAGTCTGTTCAGGGACTTCCAAGTTGCCCATTCTTGGTTTGCCCCTGGAGACAGACCCTCATTTGGGGGGGGGGGGGCATCTGGTTGGGATTTCCTGGTTTAGTTGCCCAGAGGGATGCTGTTGTTGTTGCTGGGGGAACATTAAGAGAAGTGGTGGTTCTCATGAATCTTTTCCTTGATTTGAGTCTACTGGGAGGAGGCTGATAGCTATGCAGTGGATGGCTTTCACAGTGTTCGACCTTATTTCTCTCACAGTTAGCAGCAACTTCCCATCACACATCGGGGACGGGGGACAAGCAATGCCAGCTAGCTTGTAGAGTCTATCAACAGGGGTAGGTTTGAAACATCCTGTGATTATTCTGCATGTTTTGTTCAGTGCCATATTCACTTGCTTCGTGTGGTTAGACTTGTGACAAACAGTGCAGACATACTCAGCAGTTGAGTAAGACAAGGCCAGGGCTAATGTTCTTATTAATTTTGGGTCTGCACCCCATGCACTGCCAGTAAGTTTCCGTGGGATGTTACTGCATGCAGCTACTTTGTGCTTGGTGTTTATACAGTGTTTCCTAAATGTTAGTGTTCAATCTAAGGTGATACCAAGATATTTAGGATTGGAGAACTTGGCCTTCCCAGGTAACTTTCAATTTCCTGTTGGCTTCCCAGTTGCATAGATGGAAAGCACACACTTGTGTCTTGGCAAGGTTAGGCTTCTGATGCTTTTAGGACAAATTCTACTCCTCCTGGTGCTTTGGATTTCAGCTCCCAGAAATCCCAGGTAGCTTACCAGCTGTTAGGAATTGTGGGAGCTGAAGTTCAAAATACCTGGAGGAGCAAAGTTTGAGAAACACCGTGTTACAATATTCCTGGACATGACTGTAATTTTAAAGATCCAGTTGTGGTATTCACATATAATAAGAAGCAAGGCATAGTGTGTTATTAAGTCAGAGTCTGATTAAGCAGTAACTCCATACATACAATCTTTCTCCCCTCTTTAGATGTAAACCAACAAGTCAGAAATAGCTTAGGGTGCTATCTGAATCTAGGATTATGGTTTATTGTGTTTAACAAACACACCTTACAAATCCTGTCTTGTTTGGTTACAAGTAACTGCAATTACAGGCACAAATATCACACTAACTATCCCTGCCTGATTTGTATACTAGTTTTCACTATGAGATAAGGGAAGCAGATGTGAATAGCTTACATTTACTAACATGTTAATGTTAACAATATTATGGTTCCAATCATGTCCACTTTTGTGAAGGCATTCTATGAAAAGAAACAATCATTTATTCATATAGCATTCCAGCCAAAACTTAAAAAATGAAAAATTTCAGCAAAAGCTTACCTGTTGTGCTTCAGGACCAGCTTTACTTTTCCATAGCTGACAGTACACAGCTGCCAAATGAAAGTGAAAACACTGCTTAGAAACAGAACACATGAAGAATTAATTTGCAAAGCCAACTTTCCTTATTATAGTTAAGATGCATACCTGGAACATAGGTGGGCAAAATATAACCCACATTAACTCAATTTCCATTTTCTGTTTCCTGCTGCTGATAAATTGAATGTCTCACTATCATATTTCAGCAACACCCCCCCCAACACCCCCCCCCTCACATCCCCATTTTCACACTTCTGGGAAATGTGATTTTTCTCTTAAACAAGGTGTGTGTTTCCTATGACACTGAGTAAATGAGAAAAGCTGGTTTTCCATAACCCAACAGAGGGCATGTCCCCAATTCCAGTGTTGCTAAATCCAGAACCCAGACTTAGCTACATATTCAATGGGGGACTATGAGAGCTGCACTACTATGACTTTTGGAGAGTCATGTTTTTCTCACTCCTTTTTTCACCAGGGGTCCTCCAGCTTTTTAAACAGATGGCCGGGTCACAGTCCCTCAAACTGTTGGAGGGCCAGATTACAATTTGAAAAAAAAGAAAGAATTAATTCCTATGCACACTGCACATATCTTATTTGTAGTGCAAAAAACACATGAAAACAATACAATAATTAAAATGAAGAACAATTTTAACAAATATAAATTTATTAGTATTTCAATGGGAAGTGTGGGCCTGATTTTGGCTGATGAGATAGGATGGTTGTTGTTGTTGTGTGCTTTCAAGTCGTTTCAGACTTAGGTTGACCCTGAGCAAGGGCCGGGTAAATGAACTTGGAGGGCCGTATCCGGCCCCCGGGCCTTAGTTTGAGGACCCCTGCCTTAAACTTAACTACACTGCTGTGCTGGCAAGTCTTTCTAGCTTATCTTTTGTAAAATAAGTGGACCTATGCTCTGATGTCCTGTGTTATATCCAAGAATGCCTAGACATTACAGTTCTCTGTTGTGTTTAGTCATCTCTTCAGTGTCTAGTCCTAAATACAAGAAGACAAAAGAATGGCAGTTTACCTTGATAAACTGAATGATCCCATCGGGCACACCAGTTTTACTCAGCTTCCGCAAATACTCTGTGATATCATCTGTTTGTAAACCCACGCTAACAGCAGCATAGAGAGAGTAAGCAGTCAATTTATATTCATGTATATGGGAGGGTCGGCAAACTGGCTCAGCAATGGCAACCAGAAAATCCTGGGCATATTTGTAAACAGGTGAAAAGGCTTCAAGGAAAATATGGCCATCAGGAGCCTATGAAAGGACAGAAGAATTGCAATACTATTACTCTGCAAACAACTTAAATGCTTTGTACTGCTGTCTTTAAATATAGAAAGAAGCATAGGTAGGCATGTTCCTTCAAATTGCCTGGTGACTTACAACAACTCCATTAATGTCATAAAGCTGTCTTAAGTTAGGAATACTCAGAGTTAGTATGCCATTGACTTCCTATAGGACCGAGGGTACGTGTCCCTTCCAAGGACTAACTTGGTATTTTGGCACACCCCAGAGGTGTTTTACTCAACTGCTGTGCAATGGAACTATCCATCAGTTTTTCAATAATATTTGCATTTGTGCTTCCCAACCAGTGGCAGAATTTTTGACTTTTGTCCAAAAGACAAATCATTTTTGAAATTTCCTGACAGCCAGAATCCGTTCATGATCTAGCATTTGGGAAGAGAAAAGAGAAAAAGTGAAAAAACATGTTATTCAAAGAGTGAAGAGAACTCCCAGAAGTGTAACTAGGTACATATTTCAGAATCACTTGACTAAAGTTTGTTGAAAATGCTAGGATCAAAATTCTCTTCCACTATGAACTGGAAAATGAAAACTTGGAAATGTAGGTTAGATTTTTGGATGCTAGCTCCCAGAATGCGTTCTGATTCCAAGTATGATCTGGGGAAATTAGCACACGTTAACAGCCATAACGCAATGATATGGAATCATGGAAATTGAAGTTTGATGAGGCACCAGAACTCTTTGGCAGAGAAAGTGAAAGTCTTTGTTAAAGTACCGCTCCCAGAATTCCACAGCATTGAGCCATAGAAGTTAAAGTACTGCCAAATTGCCAGTAACTCTACAGTGCAGATGCACCTTTGGTCAATGAGTAGGAATTGTAAAAACTGTACTCCAAAGCATTACCAAGGTCTAATCTTCCTCAGCCATTCTCAAAGCATGCCAAAGTAAGTTTCAATGTCAGTTCTTTCAGCACAGGCAAACACCTCTGGAGGTTTCCTTTAAAGAATGAGAACAAAACTCTAAGGAAATCTCTGTGTTTGATGGCGCTTACCACCCACAGCGGGCGGGAGGAATGATCATCCTTGAGATGCATCTGGCTCCTGTAGTCCTTCGCCCCATATTCATCTACTTTTTTCTGAGAAACTTCCACTTGCTTCCCTGCTGCCGAAGGAACTGCTTCTTGAGAGTCTCTGCCTGGGATGTCGTATTCGTCCTCATTCTCCTCCTCATAGTGCCGCTTCTTAGACTTTTTCTTATCTGAAAACCAATGCAGATACGTTTCCATACATATACACATAAAAACCGTTTATAGTAGAAATTTAAAACTGCAGACAACTTTAGATTGCATAAACCATCCTGACTGCTTGTGACAAAGGCTAATGGGATTTGCAGTTTAGTATGATCTGAAGGTATTTCCCATGCCTGGTTTAGACAGCAAAACATGTTTCTATGGTTAAGGGATAATGACTCCTTTTAACTGCTCAAGGCAAATATGGGGACTACAGTAATTCTTCCATATTCCTATTAGTTGAACTCTGAAGATCCTTTTATAGCATCTGCCCAAGAATCTGGAATAGTTCTACACACACACACACACACACATGTATGTATGTGTATGTGTATGTGTGTGTGTATGTGTGTGTGTGTGTGTGTGTGTGTATATATATATATATATATATATATAAATTTTAATGGTTTTAATCTATTGTCATTTGTTGTCAATTTGAGGTGTGATGTTTATTTGTATGAGGCATGAATTTTGTCATGGATTATGTTGTGAACTGCTTTGAGTTCCCCCAGGGATGAGAAAAGTGGCATATATATCTATATCTATATATATGAGGATGCTGAGGACTGAATCCAGGAGAAAAGTGTGTATTCTTCACCTTTACCCAACCCACATATTCTATACACCAGTGGTTCCCAACCTTTTTTGACCAGGGATCACTTGACCACTACCCAACATTAGTACCAAAAGGGTTACAAATCAGTTTTTGGTCAACTTTAGATTCAGGTTGGGGTGCTGATTCAGAAAACCTCATCAGCTCTAGTTTCTGATACAGAACATATGCAATCGTCAGTGACAGGGAAAGAGTGGCAGGCGGCGTGAAAGGAGTGGAAATAAAAAAAATTAAAGAGGAAGGAGGCCCGTGGACCAGATTTTTGTCTTGGTGGTCCACAGCCCACAGCTTAAGAAGCACTGCTATGCACAAAAGAGATACTTTTGTTTGGATAGGTCCAGCTTACCTATCCAAACACATCTCCCTTTATGAGGTAGCTAGAACATTAAGAATCTGCTGGGGAGGTCCTGCTCTCTGTCCCACCGCCTTCTCAGTTGTGGCCCCTTGGCTGTGGAACTTCCTTCCCAGTGAGATTAGATTGGCCCCTTCCCTCATAGTGTTTAGGAATCAACTTAAACAAGACTAGTGTTTAGGGACAATAGTTCCTCTGAATCTGGTAATCCTTTCTGTCTTACAGGCAGAAAGGAGTTTGAGCAAAGACTCTCAACATACTGGTGTATATTCAGCTCTCTCTCTGACATGATGTCTTGCTATGGGACAGGCCTGGGCAAACCTTGGCCCTCCAGGTGCTTTGGACTCCAACTCCCAGCATTCCTAAGCGGCTTAAGCGGCTGAGGGGGAAAAGGAAGGGGCCTGAGGCTGTGAGGAATGCTGGGAGTTGGAGTCCAAAGCACCTGGAGGGCCAAGGTTTGCCCAGGCCTGCGATGGTTCCAAAGAGAACGAAGCCTCTCTCTAGTCACTCACCGCCGCGCTCCTTCTTGCCCATCTTGCCAGGCCGCGCCAGCCTCTCTCTCGGGCCGCTTCCGGGACAGAGAGCGGAGCCAATCCGGTCTCTCCCTCTCCTGAAGCCCCGCCCACCCTCGGGAGGGAAACACGGAAGGGGAGGAAGCGATGGCTCTCGCGCGCGAAGGAGGCGCGCGCCCGCCTGCCCGCCCGCCCGCCCAGAGAGGGGTTTTTCTTTGCAGAGGCTAATCACAGTATTCCTCAATGAATCACCTTCTCAGTGTGCTCGTCGGCGTGCTTCAAAGTGTGTGTTCAATAGTTGCAATACTGCGTCGTGGTTTAATTTCGATAGTGGCGGCATTGCATTGCACTTTAGTGTTGATCTTTGCTTGCCTTGCATTTCAGTCTTATTTGTTTATTTGTTTACAGTATTTATTTTCCGCCATTCTCACCCCGCAGGGGACTCAGGGCGGATTTCAATGTACATAATATACATGGCAAACATTCAATGCCATAGACACAGAACATATATAGACAGACACACAGAGGCTATTTAACTTTCCAGCTTTTTCATGAGAGTATTCTGGCCACCAGGGGAGCTGTCGCTTCAACATCCATTTGTGACACTGATGGAGTACTTTCTCATTCTATGCTTGCTTGCTGGAGATTTTATGGCGTCGTAAATTAGTTAAATTAGCCTCCTCGCATAAGCGATACATACATTTCCTACTTGACAGATGCAACTGTCTTTCAGGCTGCAAAGGTTGACAGCAAGCTACACAATGTTCGGAAGCTCACTCCAATCCAGGCTGGCTTTGAATTCATGACCTTTCGGTCAGTAGTGATCTTAATGCAGCTGACTGCCAGCCAGTTGCACCACAGTCCTTTTCCTGTGTTTTCAGCGTTGCATGTCTTAAGACAGTTGCAGCAGAGCCTTGCCTTTTAATTTTGATCCTTGCTTTTGGTTTTGAAGGCCATAGTGCCAATAACCAAGTGGCATTTGAAGCGTGATTGTTAGTGTGTTTTTAATGTTGTGTGTTCTAAATAGTTGTAGTATTGCAAATAGTTGCACTGGATTTTAATATTGCCATTTAACTCGTTGTATGCCATCATTTGCAATTTATGGAGACCCTATCATGGGATTTCCTTGGCGAGGTTTGTCCAGAGGGAGTTGTCTTTCTCAGAGGCTGAGAGAGTGTGACTTGTTTGAGCTCACTTTCTGTGTTTCCATAGTTGAGTGGGGATTCAAACACTGATCTCCAGAGTCCAAGGCCTCTTCTGCACTGCCATATAATCCAGATTATCACTTTGTGTGTTTCCATGGTTGAGTGGGGATTCAAACACTGGTTTCGAGATTCTAAGGCCTCTTCTACACTGCCATATAATCCAGATTATCAAATCAGATAATCCATATTATCTGCTTTGAACAGGATTATGTATATGAGTCTACAGTGCCATACACTGAGCAAAAAGTTGGCAGTTCAAATCCAGGGAGCGGAGTGAGCTCCTGTTAGCCTCAGCTTCTGCCAACCTAGTAGTTCGAAAACATACAAATGTAAGTAGATCAATAGGTACCGCTTTGGCGGAAACGTAGCAGTGCTCCATGCAGTCATGCTGGCCACATGATCTTGGAGGCATCTACGGATAACAGCAGCTCTTCAGCTTAGAAATGGAGATGAGCACCACCCCCAGAGTTGGACTCCACTGGACTTAATGTCAGGGGAAAACCTTTACATTGCCATATAATCCTGTGTAAAGCAGATAATCTGGACTTTGTATGGCAGTGTAGGAGGGGCCTCAGTTCAACATTCTCACCATTACATCCCTTTTAACTTTAATTGGAATTAGAAATTTCCTTTTAAATGGCCACTTTATGCAAGGTGTACAAACTGTCCTCCCTGCACAACAATGCACTTTGTATTGTTAAAGCAAAGTTGCAAACTGAAAATCGCTCATTTTGTGACACTTCTCTGATATTTTCCAAAATCATTGCAATTCTTCCCCACCCCCTACAATTATAAATTGTTCAATATGTGTACATTTTGGGGGCACCCTGAATGTAAGGCCCCTTAAGTCCCAGTTTTGGGAAAAGACAATGTATAAATATCCTTCTGAGGCGCCCCGCAGGAATGGGCCTTGAAGGAACTGCTTTGCAGTGGCTTCAGTCCTTCCTCGAGGGTCGTTCCCAGAAGGTGTTGTTGGGGTACTCCTGCTGGGCTTTTCTGCCATTGTCCTGTGGGGTCCCGCAGGACTCATTATTGTCCCCTATGCCCCCTATGTTATTCAACATATACATGAAGCCGTTAGGGGAGATCATCCGGAGTTTCGGGGTGCTGTGTCATCTGTACACAGATTATGTCCAACTCTGTCACTCCTTCCCACCTGCTACTAAAAAGGCTGTGCAAGTCCTGAACCAGTGCTTGGCCGCTGTAATGGACTGGATGAGAGTGAACAAATTGAAACTAAATTCAGACAAGACAGGTCCTCCTGGTCAGTCACAAGGCCGAACAGGGCATAGGGTTACAGCCTGTGCTTGACGGGATTACACTGCCCTTGAAGGCGAGGTTCGCAGCTTGGGAGTGATCCTGGACTCATCGCTAAACCTGGAACCCCAGATTTCGGCGGTGACCAGGAGAGCTCTTGCACAGTTAAAGCTTGTGCGCCAGCTGCACCCATACCTTGGGAAGTCTGACTTGGCCATGGTAGTTCACGTTGTGGTTACATCCCGTATAGACTACTGCAACACTCTCTATGTGGGGTTGCCTCAGAAGACTGCCCGGAAGCTGCAATAAGTACAATCGTCGGCAGAAGCTATAATGGGAGCGGGGTTACAGGGAGTGCACAACTCCCTTGTTGTGGCAGTTCCACTGGCTGTCAATTAGCTTCTGAGCACAATTCAAAGTGCTGGTTTTAACCTACAAAACCCTTTACGGTTCTGGCCCAGTTTACCTGTCTGAACATATTCTCCCATACGAATCATCAAGGGCATTAAGATCTTTCGGAGAGGCCCTGCTCTCGGTCCCGCCACTTTTGCAGTCACATCTGGTGGGGACAAGACAGGGCCTTTTCTGTGGTGGCCTCCGGCTATAGAACTCTCTCCCGAATGAAATTAGATCTGCCCCCTCCCTCCCATCCTTTAGGAAGCAAGTAAAATCCTGGTTTTGGAGCGAGGCATTTCCAGAGTGGTTGAGACCAGAAATTGACTAAAGTTATTGACCACAATGTGCGGACTGAGTTGGACGTTGTTTTTACCTTGGCAAATTGGTTCATATGTATTTTATCTTATATGTATTTTAAACTATTGTATCATGTTTTAAAAGGTATTATTGTTAGCACTGAATTCTTGCTGTTAGCCGGTCTGAGTCCCTCTATGGAGGTAGAGAAGATCAGGATGCAAAAGTTTCAAATAAATAAATAAATAAATAAATAAATAAATAAGATAATTATGATAATATAGAAAACTCACCCTTAAGTACCATAAGTAATTCTCAGAGATGCTTTATCTTGTCCTATTTTTTATGCATTGATACAGAGGTAGCCTGGAACAATTCAAAGACAAGAAGGTGCAAGTTTTTCAAAATACCAGTAACTGGCTATCAAAATTAATGATACACAGAGCTCACATTTTTTTCTTAAAGAAATAATCCAAAATCTAATTATCACAGGAACAGAAAGTGAGGAGAAATCTTCTGAATAGGATCACAGACGGCAAAACAAACATTACGTTAACCCTTCCCAAAGTTATCCAAAGCCAAAGAATATACATTTTTGGATGGAATGACACTTTACAAATTAGATTTAAGAATAAACCTACAGAACCAATCTTGTTTGTAATTTGGGGACTGTCTGTACTGGCTTTTTCTTGCAATTTGTCTTGGTTTTTTCTTAAAATACCCACACACTGGATTTTTGGCATCTATATAATGGCATGCTTTCCAATCCTCAAATAAAGAATATTCTTCAAAATAGGCATGATTTTCAGCTTTCAAAAAAGTGTCATCCCTTTAAAATAAGTTACACTTGGTAACACTATGGAGAGGCGGACCTATATTAAAAGAAGATTCTGTGATTTCAATGGCACTCAGATTATTCATCTAGTCATATCAGGGAAATAGGAGCCTATATTACTCCAAGTGTATTCAGTCATGCATTTCAGGGTTATTTCCCTTAATTTATTTTTAAATAGGATAAAGCCATTGTGGAAAGGCCTTGAGCTTCAGCCAAGTAATCATTTGCATTAGGAAACAGAAATGCTCAGGAGAGTGGTTTTACATAAAATTCCAGTTGACTGAACTGAGTTATAGTCACAAACTCTTATCCATTAGAAGAGGTGTGAACAAAAATAATGGTTTCACAAAATACTACAATGTGTGAGTCCTCACAAATGTATATGCATGTCCCAAGAAATGTATATGCCCTTAACAGCTTATAATTCTGTATTTTTTCCAGCTAAGAATCACTCCATAATATGGCCAATCCCAGACTGACATTTGACCAATGTAAGTTTGTACTAAAATGGTATTGGAAAACTGAAAAAGTCAGAGGTCCAGAGACAGTGGAGACAGGAATTTCAAACAGGGCCTCCAACACGGGTTACAATTGCACGTATATGAGACAAAATTGAAACCGATGATACTATGCAAAACATACAAAAGCAGTGTTCTGGGAGGCATCGGACATCAACAGACAAAGAGAAATCAGAAAAGGTGCTGCATAATTTTGAGCAGTCATCAAGAAAATTGCTACGGCAAATGGCTCACAAAATAGGAGTATCAAAATCGAGCATTCATCGAATTTTAAGGTGTGCAAAACTTGGTAGCTGTATTCCAAACCTAATGCATTCTCTTAATGAAGATGATGCTGACTGTCACCTTGAATTTTGTAAGTGGCAGAGCTGTGTTCCAAGACTAGTACATCCCCTCAACAAGGATGATCCTGATTGGCGACTTGAATTTTGTGAGTGGTTTCAATCAGAAGTAGCAGAAGACGCATTTTCTGGCGACAAGATACTAGTATTTGTATACTTTTTGGAAAAGAAGAAAACACACACTGGAAATAAATATTTGTTTTATTAACACTTAAAAGTGCTATTATCTATAGTCATTCCATAAGTTCATAA